GTACATTCTGGTAATAAACTGACAGCGACATGAGAGAAGTGATTCGTAGAATAAAAACAAGACAGAAGACAAATTCTTTACAGTTTCTGTAAGTCCGTCTCAGACGCAATTGTCATTGCCTTACTCCTGTCCTCTTTTCGAACATGAATGGTGCAGTTTCGTGTCCATACATATTTATACTGCTTTACGCGAGCAGCCTCTTTAACTTTCTTAAGCAGCTCGCTATTGCGAGCAGTAAGGTGTTCATTGACGAAAAGCCTATCGGAAACGTTAGGTACTTGAATGCCCGTTGAAGCCGGGGTGCCACTACTTCTGCGAAACAATTTAGTTGAGGCCAAGAACTCATCTCGCTTCATACGAGAAGAGAATTTAACAATGACGCTACGGGGTTGATTAGTTTGGCGGCGCGAGTCAGCTGGAGCGCGTTGTGGGAGGCGATGGATTGCATCGATTTGAGAACGGTCAACAACGCATTTAATCGACTCTCCGATCTGTGATACGACAGCACAGAGATTTTCCTCCTTCGTCTCTGGAATACCAGAGAGAATAAGATTGTTCAGCCTCGAATATTGCTCCAAGTGCTCCACACGACTGTTTAAGTCAACTACAACAGATTTAAGCCGTGCATTTTCAACTGCGATCGATTCGCAAGATTTAATTTTTTCTCCGAAAGATTTCAGAGTTTTTTCAAAATCTGTTATTTTTTCGCCATAAAATGAAACAGAAGCAAGCAGCTCAGTATATTTAGAATACATATTTTTCATTTCCAACTGTATACCGTGAAGAAGCTTATATAATTCATCATTACTTCGGACGGTGGGCGCCGAGGGCGTAAGGTCGTCATCGATAATAATTGACCGGTCCATATCTACTCTACAAGAAGAGCATTTCCAAGAAACGCCCTCAGATTTATATTGTTGCAGTACTGTTACAGGAATTTTAACACATTTAGCGTGAAAAAAACCCGCGCAAACGCCAGCACATTGGAGACCCGGGGTCTTCGTGTTCAGTCGGCCGCCGCAAGTGCTACACCCGGACACGGTTGGAGGCATAATACGAAACACCAGGAAACCAGACTGCGTCGGACGATCGAAAAAAAAAAACCGTTTGGCACGGACCACGCGTAAAAGCGAAAACGAATCGGTATTAAAAATTAGCTTAAATACCTTAAATTTTACAGAAAATGAGTCCGAAAAAGTAGTCACTCCTGACCGAAACACATGCCACGGTCCTCGTATGCGTTCACAACAAAAAACTATCGCAAAATTACCACTGAAAACCACTTTAAAAACCAAGAGCACTTGTTCCCGATGTTGCATTCCTCACAAGAGGAATATTAAGAGGATATTGCTGAATAACAATTAAAGCTAGAACTAATACTAGACCTAGAACTAGAAAGTTTCGGGTTACATCATTATGTTAAACTATGACAATATAAATGCAATTAAAAAAAGGGTAGTGTAATATGTTAGAATTGTTAACGGAATGAAAAGCTCATGAAAATCGATGGATTAAGTCGTATGTCGGTATATTGGTAGATGTTCGGGCAGACTCGAAATACTGATTATGTCTGGTGGCATCAATGTTTATTAATATCTTAACCAAAGCTAATCGGTCATTTTGGACAATAAAAATAAATAATAAAGTAAAAGTTAACAAATTTATAATAAATATCACAAATTTAAAAAGTATTATAAAATGATTTAAAGTTGGGTTGTATTGAGATTTTTTATAATTTATGTTTTGCGTATAAAGGATCTAATTTATAGATGTCATCCCAAAATATCATAGATGTTTCGTCAGGATTTTTTCCAGGTACCAATCTGTCGTTTTGTATATCCACAAAGTTAAATTCGTCTTTTTGAATAGGTTTCCAGTCGATTTGAGTGACAGGATCAGTTTTAGACAAAACAGGTTTCCCGAATTTTATGAAATTTCCCCAAAGTTTTGTTATTTTTCGAACTGCAACATCTTCCACACTTCCTGGTGATATTTCTGGGGTGAACATAGTTTTAAATAGATAACAGGTATCATCGGTATGAGAGGCTCCTAAAATTTGTTTGATTTTCATTAATTAATTCTGATGATTTTTTTTCAGTTTACCGTTTGCTTTAAACTTTCTGGCAAGTTTATACAAATTTAATTTAGCATCAATAGAAAATCTATAAAAATAAATAGGGTGGTTTAAATTGTCTACCATATGTCTTGCTATTCTATAAACTGGGTAAGAAAAGAATAATCCAGAACCCATCTAAAACAAAAATATGTATACATTAATTCAAAATTAAAAAATTATAATTGTATCTACAACTTTTAGAGATTTCTTACTTTCATATACTTATCTTTATGTTCAATCGTAGCTGGTGAATCTTTAAAGAAAAACTGTTGTATTTTTGCGGCTATCATTTTAGATGTTTCACTGCCTTTTGGAAGTTGCAAAGTATGAGGAACCATTTTTTCAAAATCATCAATTAAGACTGTCATCCCTTTTATTAAGAAGTCGGCGTACAACCCTTCATTTGAAGTATATCCCATTAACAATGGAACTTTATTATAATCTCCTCTTAAAATTTTTAACAACGGTGGTTCCGTAATAACCGCTCCAGGATTTGGTTTTTCAATAACAGGATTATAACACATAATATTATCACCATACATATCCTAAAATAAAATGTTGATGTTATTATTTCAACTTTGTATCATTTTATTTTAACCTACGTTTCTTAATATTCTAATTTTTTGACTAGCTCTTAACAATTTCTCAACTTCAACTCCTCTTAGAAAGTCTAAAATTTCTTTTTCAGATTCACTTTTTAGTCCCAACTTTTCCGCAAGTTCTTTAGCGCCTTCCCTTTTACCAAGGGCCCAATTTTGCAAAGCACAAGCACTTTGCATAATCGCTTTATGAAAAAGTCCTTTCGCTAACGGAGAGAGCATCATGAAATTTACCATTATAGCACCTGCACTTTGACCGGCTATTGTAATATTAGAATCATCACCACCGAAGTTTCGTATATTTTTATGAACCCATTTCAGACCCATTAAAACGTCTTTAACTCCTGCATTTCCCGGTACTTCTAAAGATGTGTCTTCCAAACATAAAAATCCTAAATTAAGAGTGTTGAATTAGATTTGTTGGAAGGGTAATGAAAAAACGTTGTACCTAAAGGTCCTAATCTGTATGTTAAGGTAACTATGACAATATTTTGGGTTATTAAGAATTCTGGTCCGAAAACATCAGGATTTCCTGATCCGGTTACAAATGCACCACCGTGTATCCACACAAAAACTGGCTTTTTTGCTTCTGCATTTAACTAAAAATGATTAAAAAAGAATGTATTATTTATATGTTAAGTTAAAATTATATTTTTTTAATTGCATTAATTTTATAAGTACACAAAGAATATGTAGTTCTACCTTTAATAATTGAGTGTTAGCAATAGAATAGTATTCGAGGGCATATTTAATTCGCTACAATTAGAACTGTCATAGTAGGTATCGTTTAGTGTTGCTATTCTTCCAAGAATACCTGTCACTTTGCCTTTAATATATCTTATATGCTCGACGAACAGTACCGCAAAGGACATCTCAGAGGTTGGATTTAGAGGCTAAAGGACAACTGCACGGAATAAGGGTGCATAGAGGAGAATTTAGGAGGACAGAGCACGCACAGATGATGATGGTAATGGTCATGAATTTAGCAGTTCCCCAGTTATCACAGTCGGTCCCGTGCCTGGATGCAGGAAGGTAGTTTGTGGTTTGAGCTAGCAATCTGTCCAGTGTAAAATCCAATAGATATGCAAAGAATTGTTGATCATGTTTAGGAACACGGACAGATCTTATGGCAACATGACAGAGTGACAAGAAGAAGTAAATGTCTTTGGAAATCTAAAATACTACGAATGGGCTGTTGAATTAAAATAGCATAAAATTGATTAGGTACTAAAACTAGCTACTGTTATATAGCGGAAAATACACAACACAAAGGGCTCAGGTTGGTGTTTTTTACAAACGTCCATTACTCCGCGAAACAATGTTAGCCTAGGATAGTTTTATTTATAAATGTCAATTACCTCTGGGAAAGAACCTTGTGTAAGGTTAGTTTTGTTAACTTAATGAGCATAGAACTATTGAATTATCTATTCGTTATACATTTGATTTTTGACGGGTACTGATACGCATTACTCACATGACAGACAAGTGTTGAATAATGAAGCCATTATTCCACAGTTCTGACACGACCTACTAACCAAAAAATAAAATATAACAGAAATGACAGCTTTCTTATATTGAGGTTATGTCTGAAATGTCTATCAAGTTTGTTTTTCTTTTTTTGATTTTTTTTTTCAAAATTAAATAGTTGTAGATAAAGTATTCAACTTGCGTATAATGGCGGCTGTTACCCATGAAGATGAAGTTGCATATAATCTGAGTGGGTAATAGCCGCCATTATACGCTTGTTGAATAATATACTATTATCTACGACTGCTTGGATAAGTCATCATTACCACACTCATTTGAGGTGATTTGAGTTACGTAATAAAGTTCATTGCCTGGTTTCATTACGTAACGCATTTTTAGCCCAATCAGAACAGACTTAGTTTATTGAAATGAGCAACAATACAAAAGAAAAAGTGCTACCTATTTACAGAGAAACAATACTATTTATTACAAACATTAATTGTTATGTTTTTACATTTTGAAACAGTTATTCCAGATGAGTAAACATGTTATTGAAACTGACATTAATTCAAAATTGTCAACAATCATTTCAAAATATTTTTATAAATGTTAAAATTGACCTTTTTAAAGAAATTGATTTTTAAGTAATTTTTAGCAGTCGTAGATAAAATGTTGTATATCACACGTGGGCTAGAGCATAATTACAGTAGTCGTGTGATTACACGTCTCAGTCTACGATCTCGTCGTATAATTCTCTATACTCGTACAGTAATTATGTTTCTAGCCCACTTGTAATATAAATAACTATTACAGACATAAAGACTTTCAAAACAAAAGGTGTGGTTGGAAATCTCGAAATGAGAACATTGCATCGATTAGAGAAATGACGTTACGTGGCCAGATTAGAAGTGCTAACACGAGAATAACTAGATATCAAGGATGTTATTAGATTCACAAGATCAAGACTAGGATACTGGAGAGGTTATGTTGATGAGAATGGAGGACGATGGATGGGCTATGTGGGTAAAGAATGAAAAGCCCACATCGAATAGACTTTCTGGCACACTATCTGAGAGATGGCATGAAACCTGGACCAGCATCTCAAGAGACATAATAATTTATAACAGAAAACACGATACTGTCTTAATAAAAGATGAATAAGATTGATATATATAGATTTGAATTAATGTCAGTTTCAATAACATGTTTACTCATCTGGAATAACTGTTTCAAAATGTAAAAACATAACAATTAATGTTTGTAATAAATAGTATTGTTTCTCTGTAAATAGGTAGCACTTTTTCTTTTGTATTGTTGCTCATTTCAATAAATTACTCAAAACCTCATTAAATTAGATTCAATTAAAAAATAATTATCTTTTAGTTAGATTCATCTGAAATCACAAAATCATAATTGTCAATTTCCCATCTAATGTACTATCGGCCAAACCTTATTTACTACATGGCGCAAGGGACAGAAAACAAATCCCCCGCACGGTCGCTTTGCCGAGTACGGCCGAAGAATCGAAGACTGGAGGGGCGTACTCATTTTCTCTCGAACCTTTGCTCTAGCCTTGTCGTCTCTTCAACCCTGAAGTGCCGGGCGCCCGATGCCAGCTTAAAGTCGAGCGCGCCTTGGATTCGAACAAAAATACACAATTTCGTTTTTACAATTCAAATAACTGTACCAATGTTATGACGTAGTCGATTTTAAAAATTCATAAAATAGTCAAATATATTCATTAAAATAAAATAATTGAACTTTAATAAGTGAAAAAAATTGTTTCTTAATTTTAAATACGTTTCTGTACTGTATATCTTCGTAAAGTTAAAGAATTTAGTTAAAATTCGATGTAAAAATCGTCTCTTAATTTCCATTAGTAATATTTTTTTTCTAATCTCATTTAAAATGGCATTTTAACCGTTTAATATTATAGAAAGTCTCAATAATTTCAAGCCATTTACGACCATTAATGCGTTTACGCACCGTTTCTTCACATTTTTTTGCGTATTTTTGACATAAGGCTTTTGCGAATTTTTTTTTCTTGAGTTGATATATTTTTTTTGTAATAAGTCTTAAAATTTTACAATAATTTCTCACCTTCATCGTAAATGGGTAAACAATAAACTTTTTATTTTTTGTACACTTTAGTAATGTTAAAAAATTTATTACCTTATTCACATAAGGTAATATAAAATTTCTGTTGAAACTACCTGTAAACTGAATTTTATAGATTGTTATTTATGAGCATGATAATATTCCATATTATAATGAAAAACCATTTGATTTTGAGTATATAATTCATTTATTTACAAAGAAAATTTTATTAATAATAAAACATTTTATTATATATATAT